CTCTCTGTCTCTCATTCTCTCTCTCGCAAATAAATAAATAAAATCTTTAAAAAAATAAAATAAAATAAAATAAATATCTCTCATATACAGTACATCATCCTGGATCTTTGGGAGGAGTTACAGAAGGTGCAAAATCCAAATGTCTTGGCTTTAAAGAGCTTACTATTTAGAAAGAACGTTAACTTTAAAATACAGACAGCTGTCATCTCATTTATTGAGCACATATGTTGTGTCGGGTACTGTGGCAAGTATTTTTATATACGCTGTATCAGAAATTGGCAAATTATGGCCAAAGAGCCAAATCTAATTCACTCTCTGTTTTTATAAATAACATTTTACTGAAGCACAGAACACTCAGTTGTTTGAGTACTGTCTATGGCTGCTTTTGTGCTACAATGGTAGAGTTGAGTAGTTGTGACAGAGTTGAGACAGTCTGGCCTACACAGCTGAAGTACCTACTGTCTGGACCTTTACAGAAAATATTTGCTGATCTCTATATCATTCATTCTCACAAGAATACTTAGAGATAAATATAGTGTTTCCCATTTTACAATTAGGTAACTGAGGGTTATAGGTGATGTAACTTAGTGGCAAAGTTTGGATTTGATTCTAGATTGTGTGATTCCAAAGATCCATGTTCTTATGCTAAATTCATACAGAAATAGCCAAAATATGAGGTAGGAAGAAATAAGAGCCTTATAGAGTCACAGAGGAACTAGAGTTCAGTAAAGAAAGATATGATTTTGAGGTCGGGGTGATAAAGATTCTGGAGAAGATCACATTTGAATGTAAAAGCAAAAATGGATCTCAAGATTTGTCACTCCCAAGCTCAAGCCCAGGAAAAGTTAAGAGATCAAGGTTACATGTTTTGTTAGAAGCAGATCTGAGATTAGAACCAGTTCTTCACTCCCCCAGCCCAAAGTATATTGTCAGTGACCATGCTGAGCCATTCAATGTTTTTGTTTGTGTGGTTACATGTTATAGAATGGCAAAATTATTTGAAATGGAGAATTTTACATTATGCTCAATGATTAATTGAACTAAAGGCCTGTACTTCTTTTATTGAAGCAATCAAAAATACATGTATGTAGGTATTTACATGATATCCACCCCCCATCTTACCAAATACATATATATTTTTTTTCCAAATATATTTTTTTGTGGAGAATCACACTTCTGAGACCGTGGGAACCTCTGGCATTCTCACCAATTTTAAGATTCAAATGACAATCAAGAGACCACAAAAGTCAAATATTTATATACATCTTACCCTCAGAATCAGGCAGCACCAGGCCAGGAGAAAAATGGAGAAGTAAACAGGTACAGCCAACAGAAGCTTACCTGATACTGTAGAGTACTTTGCCATTTTTTGAAATTCGAAGCAATTTGTTGTCGGTGGTGACATCATGGAAGTTGGCACCCTTCTCATTGGCAAAGAATAAATCTGGTTTCCAAATGGAGTCCAGCATGGATGGGTCCAAGTCCAGGGAATCATCAGGGTACTCGCTATATGCCAGCCGTGAATCATTCCACTGTTGTCTCAGAAAAATGTTCACTCGGTAGTCCTATAGAAACCCCATGCATAAGAGTTACTTATCATGCAGTCTGGCATAAGAGGTCCATCTACATTTCCCATCACTCTTCTCCCTGATTTAGCACAGTATTGGTGTCTGTATGAACCAGGCTATGTATATCTTGGTCAAAATAAACCACTCTCTTCTATTAGGAGTGGGAACAGAGGGGAGAAAGAAAGAAGGCTCAACCAAACCAGAACACTAATGGAACACATTGAGTTGGTTGAATTTTTTTTATGCTTAAATTTAAATCATTCATCCTGGGAGGAAATAATACTAACTCAAGCTGATTTCTCCATAGAAAAAGGTAACCATGAGTACAGAAGTCAGACTGTGATGGTAGATTTTCAAAACTGATTCATTTTCCAAATCAGAAATAACATGATATCTATTCTCATACTGCTCAGATGCTCTGGGCAGAAGGAAACCCATTCTGTAATTTTGGTAGTGGAAATCTTATTATAAAATCTGACATGATGGGGCAGTATTTTTTAAATTCATCTACATAAGTATTAAGATGCTTCATGTTGACAAGATAATTCCCTCACACTACTTACTTTTCAAATTCTTAAATATTTTATCATTTCTCTGAATAGGTTGTATCTGTAGTAGTTGACTTGATACTTCATCAATACAGAAATCTTTTTCATGTTTTCCTAATCTGAGCACCTTCTGACAAAGGTGTTCCTCCCTATGGGAGACTCAGGTACATCCTGTCATTCCCACTTGATCTGGGAATTTACTTCTTTGCCAGTAAATCAGCCTGGGGCAGTGACTTCTCTTCTGGGAATTTCTACTCAAAGGTCTTTAGGTTCATGGAAACTGTTGCTTTCCTTGGTAGAGTGGACCCCAAAAGAGGCTTTAACAGTATTCCCTAGTCAAGTGGGACTATAGTTCAGAACTAATAGTTGTTCACTCCTGATACTTATGGTCATTTAGAGTGATACATACTCATACCTTCTTACTCTCTTTCCTTTTCCTTTTTCACCATTTGCTCCATCCCCACATCTTTGTTACCTGGAGTTTTGGTCATTGTTTATTTTACTCTAATGGTGACCAACTTATCCTGGTTTACCTGAGAACCTCCCACTTTTAGCCCCCAAAGTCACACATTCAGGGGACCCACTCACTTCTAGACAAAACCAGGATGGTTGGTTACTCTACTAGGTAGAGTGGAGACACCTCAGGGTGGTCAGTTTTGGTTCATTCCCTCAGGGCCAAAAGAAAAATAAGTTATAAAGATTAGGGTATATGGAAAAGAGCTTCAATCCAGTTCCTTCTACCTATTACTAAACTATCCAAATTCCTAGGACATTTTTTTCAAATACAGCCATCCTGATTTATCAGGCTGATAGAGTATTTTGGAGATGGCAGTTCTTGGAAATAGTGCCCAATGTAGGCTTAAAGAATGCTAATAATCAAATAGTTACTAACTTCTGAAAATCAGTCATCAAAACCCAGCTCATTTGGAAAGGTTGATATTAAAAGAAATAACCTTAAGGTTCTCTGTTGTACAGCATTAAGAATTTTCTGACTTGGAAAATTTATCAGCTGACTTTTATTTGGGATTTTACCAGGCATGAATGGCAAATTTTCAAACCTAAGAGGGCACTGTTGTGGGCCCAGTCAGGCTTCCATCCCATCCTGTTTGCTCACTGACTCCTCCAGTGAGTGAATCAAGGGAATAGCAGAACCTCAAAGTTGTTCCCGTCATATAGTTTTGGAATTGTTCAAAGGGACCAGAGGATTTTAAGTGGAAAGAGATTACCAGTTCAGTGTTTCATTGGCAACAGGAGTTACTGGAAGCTTTGGAATTGTGTGTGAATAAAGAGTGAGGATGTGTGATATGTAGAAAATCAAAAAAAGGGGCTATTGAAAATACAATAATCCAATTTACATATAAGTATGAACTAGATACATTAACTGTGAGCTTTCCTTAAGGTTTTCTGAGGGAAAAAATGCAGCTTCTCCAGTGTTTGACATCCACCCCTGTTATATCCCTTTGAGTAAAAGCCAGTTTTCCTTAACAAAATGGTGTGTGTGTGGGTGAGGGGTGGTCTATGAGCTTGTTTCAGTAGGAAGTAGGAGAAAAGAGAATTTCAGAGAATTTCATCCCTTAGAGAATTCTGGAGGTAGAGAAACTCTAAGTATGAGAAGCAATGACAGCTAGAAATAGTAGAGGTGAATGTGTTAAATATCTTAGGCCATTGGGAAGCCAACTAGGCTCCCGCCCCTGTCTAGGAAGCAGTTGTAGGATGGGAAAGGCCAGTGAAGCCAGACAGACAGTACTGGGCAGCGAAATCACTAAGAGAACATCACTGCAATCCTCCCTTGAGCCTGAGAATGATTTAAAGCTGTATATTGAAAGACTCTAGAAAATATTACATGATGACATACAATATGAAAACACTGACCTTTAAAAAAATCAATATAAATTTTCACAACTAATGTAAATCTTTTTTTAAAAAGTCTTTCCCATGAGCATTCTTCTCCCGTGTTTCCTGGTCTCCTACTTTGAATTTTATATATAGAAAATGATAAAATAGATTCTTCCAATATTAGAACTTTAAAAAGAATACTGAATCTATCATATCACATTAGAACCATTAAATGTCTAACAGTTAATTTAAAATAAATGAATCCTATTTGTAAGCAAGGATAAGTAGAAAACTTAGAGAAAAAATATAGTTTATGCCACAATGACAGGAATTATATGAAATACAACTTCTGTTAGATCTTTTGGAAGTATCCTTTATATAAATGTATAGGAATTATAGTTTTCCATACTTTTGTTTATGATGATACACACTATTCTAAAATAAATAGCAACCCTTAAAACCTTTTAGAAAAGGACACCCAAGGAACTAGAGACATAGACATCCAAGGAAAAGATCTTCTGGGGCTGGACCTCTGTAATTCTCTCAGTTCACTATGATTTTCAATGTAGGATAAAAATTTGACACATGTGATTTCTCTGTGCATCATCTCTGTTTATTTAGAGATAAGTTTATTTCCTCATGATATTCCAAACCACAGGAGATAGTTATATTCTTCTGTAGTTTTTCTTTGTCTTTGTGTTTGCTTCTAGGTTTAATAAAATATTAAAGGCAGAGTAAATATTGAGAGACATGCTTAAATGCAGACTGAATTTTCTTTTACACTGCCTTCTCTCTACAAAGACATATTCTACTTCAAATAAATGTCATATTTCCTTGTATTACAATTTGTTTTCCTATGATTGACTCTCTGGGTATTAGATTAGGTCATGGAAACATTCGAATTTATATACATATATGCGCAAATATGTATGTATTTTTTCAAATGTTGTGTTTAAGTCATATAATCTTTATTATATTCTTTTTTTTTTTTTTTTGACAGAGAGAGAGATAGCGAGAGCAGGAACACAAGCAGGGGGAGTGGGAGAGGGAGAAGCAGGCTTCCTGCCGAGCAGGGAGCCCGAT